CACTGGGCTTCCCTTCTCTGTCCTGGAATGTGCCAAGCGCCTTCCTGACACGGGGGCCTCGTACATGCAGTTCCCAGCCTGGAGGCTCCCCGCTCCCCTCCCGGCGCCCCACGCCGAGGCCTGGTTAACTCTTACTCACCCTTTGCAAGTCAGTGCGACTGTCACTCCAGGGAGGCCCTCCCAGCCCCCCCTCCTCCCGAGGACAGCCAGCTCACCCGGCCCCTTGCTCTCAGGCAGAGCTGCCACATAACCGGCAGGGCCAAATGCAGAATTCGAACGCAGGGCGCCTTGTTCAAAAAGCAGTGCAAATTTCAGGAGGGCGGCGGCAGAGCAGGAACCCCCGTGGGTGGGGCCCCAAAGACACTGCGCAGGTGGCCCAGGTCGTCAGCCGCGCTTTCAGCGCTTCCGGCCTTCGCCCGTCATCCCCTTATTACAACTGTCCTTGCCCACGCTTGTTTATTCCCACGAGTCTAGCCCAGATCGGGGCCGGTGTCGGTTTTATACACAACTCTGTCTTCCCAGCTCCTAGCATGGCTCCTGGCACTGAGGTCAGGAAATATTCTAGAATGAATGAACGGAAAGGGGTGGAGAAGACAGAGCGGGGGAAGGAGGGAAGGGTGCATGGGAGGACTGGACAAGACAGAGAGGGACAGAAGAGTGGAGAAGGCCAGGGAAGGGTAGGGGGGGGTGGGAAGCAGGGGGCAGGAGGCTGGGCAGGGGGAGCCCGGGGAGGGAGCAGGTGGTACTCACAGCTGGTCGAGGGGCTGTCGGTGCCGTCCAGTTCCGCCCTGGGGAAGCTGTGCCCGGAACGGGCCGTGAGCAGCGCCGACTCAATGGCCCTCTCGTGGGCAGTGAGCACGATGGTGGGGGCCCGGCCCCCGGCCCCGGGGCCCGACAGGGACTGCTGCATGAAGGCCAGCTTGTCCTTGGTCCTCCGTTTCATGTCATCCCATCTGTGCTTAATGTCCTTGACGGAGCGGGGCACCTGGCTGACGGAGGTGATTTTCCGAGCTATGCCTTCCCAAATCTTGTCCCTGTCGGCATGGGACAGCCGCATGGTCTCCCTCCCAAAGAGAACTGCTTCGTGGTGGGTCACCTCCGTGACCAGAATGTCCAGCTCCTCCTTGGAGAACTTGGGCTTCCTCTTACGCTCGGTCAGGGGCGCCACATTCCTTGGGTTGAATATCCCACAAAGCACAAGTGGGTAAATGACCGTCAGGGCGGGCGGTCCTCCTTCCTAATTGCCGGCCCCCAGCTGGGGAGCCGGGAGGCACCCGGGCACCCTGCCTGTCACCACCACCACACCCTCCTCCTAGCCGGAGGCCCCTTCCACTACTCCTCGGAGGACAGGCGGGTGGGAGAGATGCGGCGTAGTGGGTGGGAGCACGGCGCGCATCAGACGCCTCGGTGGCAGGCCTTGCCGTGCCCCTGGCCAGCCCTGAGAGCCGGGGCGGTTCGCTCAGCCCCTCCCGGCCTCTCTCCCCAGCCGGGTCAGGAGGGACAACCACACCATCCTCAGGGCCGTCACCAGAGAGGGGAGAGCGGAGTGATGTAAAAGAGTGTTAAAGCCCCGAACAAGAACTGAGGGTCCTTACTGGGGTCAGGACCAGGCCACTGCCGCTACAGATGGCTCACAGAAAGAGTGTTTAAACAGAGAGATGTTTAAATCTCCTTGCTGGTAATGCCAGCCATCAGGGTGTGGTCCCAGAAAGCGCTTTCTGTCCTGTGGCTCTTTGTCTCCTTCCCTGGCCTCCGAGTCCTCCCCAGGTTCCCCCCCTCCTCTCCCCCGCTTCCGCCGGATGTGTGTGTAGGCTCCCCTCCAGCTGGGGTGCAGGCTGGCAGCAGCTCAGTTTGGGGGTGGGCCGCGGTAGCCTGGTGGCAGCTCATGGGCAGAACGTAAGCGGTCCATGAGCAGCCACTGGGAGACAAGTTCCACTCGGATGGAAACCAGGAGTGACCTTGGCTTCCATTTGCACAGAGTAGCCAGGGGCTGCTTGAGGAAGACCTTGAGCAAGAGCAACCAAAGCGAGGAACCCGGCTAGTGGAGGGAAACCTGGAGCCCCGTTCACTCCTCCGGCTGCCCCCCAAACCACAGCACGAGGCTAGGGGCCCAAAGATCCTTCAGCCTCTACCTTCCCACGTCACCTACCCAGACCGCCACAGCCCAGGAGAAAGGACGGTCGGGGCTTGGTTACCTGGCCAAGACAGTGACTGTGGCTGGGGCCATGCACTCAGACCTGGACCTAGGGGCTGAGCCTCCGGTGCACACTCCCTTCCCCCTCTATAAAAGGAGGCTCGTAATTCTAGTGTTGCCTTCAGGGCAGCCGGGAGGAAGTGACGGGGTTTTTCAGGCTCACCACTATGGCCGTTTGGGGCTAGAAAATTCATTGTGCATGGGGTGGCCATCCCAGGTAATATAAGCACCCTTGGCGTTCTGCCCGATAGACACCGGGAGCAGTCACCCGCAGAGCTGCGACAACCCCAAAATGTCTCAGAACGAAACAGCCCCCGGGTTCAGACCACCGATTTCGCGAATGTGGAGCACGTGGCATAGGGATGCCATCAAGTCAACACTCACTGCGTGGACGCCCGTTCTCTTCCCCGCCCACCACTTATGTTTTGGAAAAACCCTAACCAACTCCATTCAATCATCCACGAGCCCCTAGGCTGTAACAGTACAAGTGAAGGCATCTGCCAACTGGAATGAGCTATAGGGTAACTTGGGGAAGGCAGGTTCCCAGGATGAACTGCCTTCCCCTCCAACTACCACCAAAGGGACATCCCCACGGCAACGGACCACATACCCAACCTCAGCCTACACCTTGAGTCTTAAATGAGAGGGGGCCCACCGCCTGTGACTACCTGGCACCATCTTGCATTGTTAGGACAGGGCTGGAGGTTGGGACAGACTGGGAACAGGACAGACCTCCCCCACCGGGAAGGCAGCTGTAGCAGAACCCACCCCCCACAGAGCCCAGGAGGCCATGCTTTGCTGGGGCCCCGTGCACAAGCGGAAAGAACGCTGGCCCGGAAGTCCAGACATGAATTCAAGTCCTGGCGCCGCCAGTGACCGCATGATCCTGAGCGAGACCTTGCCCTGGCCCGGGCCTCAGTTTTGCCACTGTGGCATGATGATCAGCACAGAGCAGTGACTCTCCACACCAGCGGCGCATCAGACTCACTATGGAGAGTTTTACAAAAGACCGTGGGCTCACGCCCAGGCCAATTAAGCCAGAATCTCAGGGGCATCGGGTGATTGCTCAGTTAGTTCAGATGATGTCTTTCCCTGGGGCTGCGGGGAAGCCTTGTCCCCAGGCTGAAAGATCAGAGATGGGTGGAAGCAGGTAACGGGACCAGCTCTGCCGGCAAAGCGTCTAGAGCCTCGAAGGCAACAGCACAGAGAGGCCTGATGCAGGGCCACACTCACACACGCTCTCCTTCGCTTCTCTAGAGCCAGACGGAGCAATAGGGAGTAGGAGACCAGGCCAGGGGTCTGGTCCCCACTTCCATGTCTCTGGTCACAGTGCCCTCCAACGAAAACCTGGCCCTGTCGCAGGCCTCACTCTGAGGCCCCCCTCCTCTCACCTGGGCCCTTGCCCCATGTTGTCTGTGCCTTCGTTCAACAACCAGGAAAAACCAGACTCCGGGGTAGAAGGCGTGAGCCCTGGGAGGGCTGGGAGGGCCAGTCCATCGAGGGCACCGCATGGCCGGGGCAGCTCTGGAAATGGTGGTGAAGCACGAGTGCCGAGCTGACCGGCGCCCCGTGGTTGGGGAGGAGGAGTTAGCAGGGTGTCCATGGCCTTCCTGGGGCCACTTTCAGGGCAGTGGCTGACCCGATCACGTGAAAGGGGATGCAAGGAGGGAGTGGCATGTCCCTATATATGACGCAGGGGCCCACCTGTCCCCGGGCACCTCTGCTTCGGCGCCTGTGAAGCGGCCACGAGAACAGCTCCCCCAACAATGAGAGGACAGATCCTAGGGTGCCCCGAGGAGGGTGAACCACAGTCCCTCTCGCACTCCCCCTGCAACCGCCATCGGTGGCTCTCAGGCGGGAAGGCTCCAGGGAAGGGGACAGCAGACCTCATCACAGACTCCCACTGCGAACCAAATTCCCCTTGTTTGCTTGGAAGGCGTCAGAGTTGAAATGCAGCCAACTCCCTTGTAGGAGGTCCCTGACTGTCCTCCCTCCGGGCACAACCTCTCCTGCGCAACCCCCCCAGCCGCCACGGGTCACACAACTGCACAAACGCCGCCCGAGGGCCCGATCCACGGTGTCCCCGGGTCTGGCCGTCCAGGGCCTCCCTTCCCTCCCAACCCAGATCCCGTCACCATCCCTGGGCGAGGCACCAACGCCCGTCTGACCCCTCACACGGCCCGCAGACCCCTCTGGGCAGGGCCCCGGCACGCTGCACGGGCCAGCGGCACGGAGCCGAGAGGAGAGCCGTGAGCTGGGTCCTCGGTTCCAGAGGCTCGGTTCAGCCCCCATGGGCGACCCTGGGCCAGCCTCCTGCTCCCTCTGGCCGGCCACGAAGTTTCTCTCTGGCGCAAACTTCTGTCCCAAACACCGGACTGTTGTAAAACCACTCTTGACAGTCCTCACGGCTGGACAGCAAGTGCCATCCGGAACTGAGCTAGAGCCTGGGCCGGAAGCACCTTTCCCTTGGGGGCCACTTGAGCCCCGTACCCCTAGAGCAAGAGTCTGCCCTCTGAGAGGGATCCTGGGGGGAGGGGGCCCTCCCTGGTGGGAATGCTGCCCGGAGCTGGGGACCCTGGGTACTCCAGACACAGGGACGAATGTGCAGCCTCTACGGGTCCTTGCAACCCACGGGCCTCTTCCGGAGCAAGAGGTCCCCTGGAACCAGACGCATCACAGACTCTGCAAACGGCAGTCCCAGGGCCTTCAGGGGCCTCCACCACTGCAGACCCCCCGACTCCCTTGGTTTCCTTTCCAGAGTGTGGGCCGGGCTCCTGGGAAATCAGCAGCAGAGAGCAGGACTCACCTCATCCAGTTGGCTTTAGTCTCGTCTGACCCATCTATGGACTTGTAGCGGTTATTCTTGTCCACAATCTGGAAGACAGAGAGAGAGTCTAGGAGGGGCCACCCCACGGAGGCTCTCACGTCCCTGGGCTCCGCCCCAAGCCAGGGCCAGGGGCCTGGCCCATCTGCCACCCCCGGCCCCTCCTCTTGCCCTCTGCGACAACGCCCCAACTGCCGTAGGGCTGAATCCCCAGCTCGGGTCAGGAATCCCATCTCCCTCTCCTGTCCCGAGAGCAGACCCGGCTACAGGGTCAGGGAGTGGCGCTTCCAGTAACCACGCACCGCAACAAGGAACAAGGATCCAGCCTCTTCTCTCTTCTAGCTTCTGTGAGAGACAGAGGCCAGCACTGGATGACGGAGCACGTGTGATGTGAGAGGGCTCCTCCTCTCCCCAGCCTCTAAGTCTTCAAGAGCCTCAGGGTCGGGCTGGGCTCTGCTCGTCTATAAAATATCCTATTTGCTCATCACTCTTGAGCTGGAGTTCAGCTGGGTATGGAATTCTAAGCAGGTTGTTTTATTTTCTTTCAGCGCTTGGAAGACTGTCCAAAAGACTGCCATGGGCTGCTCAGCAACCTACTGCCATTCTTTGATGGAAAGGCTCTCTATGGTAAAATTTAAGATGTGCATCTAAAAATTTTTTATTTTCTGCACTTTCCCTGTGTGGTTTTGAAGTGGAGATTTATTTTCTTAAACTTCTCATTACTTGATGAGCATATTACTTGACAAAAACACATCTCTTCTTCAATTCTGGAAGATTTAGAAAAACTCCTATGTTCATGAATACAGCTTCCCAATCATTGTCTCCAGTTTCTAGGTGTAGAATTTCTAGGGCACATATTTAGGAGTAGCCCCCATGTCTTTTAACTACCTTTCTCTTTTTTTCTCTCTCTCTTTTTTGGCAGTGCTCTGGGACTATTCCTCAGGACTCTCTTCCAATTCACTAATTCTCTCTTTGACTGTATCTAGTCGAGAATTTATCCACATATTAAGCTTCTTCCTTTCTTTTTTGCCTTCCTTTCTAAATGAGTACTTTTAATGCAATGAATATTTTTCCTTCCCAGCATCTTCATAGCCATCTTTCGTTCATTCCACCTCTTTCTTTCATAATGTCACATTCCTTTCTTTCCTTTCCTGACAGCTTTATTGAAGTATGATGGAAATACAATGTACCATTTGATACATTTTGACAAATGTGTACACCCATGGCCACAATCAGGAAAACAAACATATCCATCACTCCTAAGTTTCTTTGTGCCCCAAAACCTCCCCAGCCTGCCTCCTTCCATACCTCCCAGCCTCTTTGCCAGTCCATAGGCAACCAACAAGCTACTTCTTGTTACTATAAATTACTTTGTGTTCTCTAAGATTTTGTAGAAATGAAATCAAATAGAAGCCATGGCTAGCTTCTTTCACTCAGCACACTTCTGAGATTAGTCCATACTGATGTGTGTGTCAAAGTTCACCCCTTCGTACTGGTAAGTAGTATTTCATTGTCTGGATGTGCCACAACTTGCCTTTTTATCTACTTATTGATGGACATTTGGGCTGTGTCTAGTTGTCAGCTATTACAAATAAATCTGCTATGAGAATTCAGTTACAAATCTCTCTGTAGACACGCACATTTCTTGTGGGCAAATACCTGCAGTGGAACGGCTGGGTCACGTGGAGAGTATATGTTTCACTTTTAAGAAACTGCTAAGCTGTTTTCCCAAGTGGCTGCAACATTTTATAATCCCATACAGCAGCCTAGGGACCCAGCAGCTGGTCCACATCCTTGCCAATACTTGGCATGAACAGTCTTTTGTATTTCAGCCATTCTGATAGGTATGAAGTAGTAGCTCCTTGTGGTTTTAATTTCATGTCTCTAATGAGTAATGACGTTGAGCATCTCTCCGTGCGCTCACCGGCTGGCTACATATCTTCTCTGGTGAAGAGTCTATTCAAACCTTTGCTCATTTTTGAAATTGGTTGTTTTTTTCCCCTTGTTATTGAGTTTTGAGGCTTTTTTGAAAATATATGTTCATCTGGATCTGGATCAAGTCCATCATCAGACATACGATGTAAAACGTTTTCTCCTCATCAGAAGCTTGTTTATTCATTCTCTTAACGACATCTTTCGAAGGGCTGAGGTTTTAAATTCAAGCACACGAACAAAAATCCACTGTTTTGGTCTTTTTTAGTGGGTGTTAGCCTGAATTTCTTCAAGGATCCTAAGGCTAGACTCTTCATTATCCCTCATTATCTGTCACCTCCTTCATCCACAGTCACAGCACCCTTGGGTTGTAACGGGGCACTTGGCTACGTGCAATGAGGGAATGCGTTTCTTGGCTTCTCTGTTAATTAAGTTCTGGCCAATAGGATGCAGTCAGAAGTGTCACGTGTCAGCTTCTTGAAAACTTCTTCAAAAGACAGCTGATATGTGCCTTTGCACCATCCCACTGCCTGGAATGCAGACGTAATGGCCGGGGTTCTCGCCACCAACTCACCAGACCATGAGGATAATCCTAGCACTGAGATAGTGATGAGCTGGGATCAAGCTCTGTTCCCTGGGGACTTAGTGAGGCAGAGCCACCGCACCAGGCCCTGAAATGTACTCAATGTATTCACAGGACAAAAATGTAACTCCTGTTTTGCTTGAACTGCCGTTATTTTGAATCTCAGTTACTCAGAGTCAAACCTATTCTTGATACAGATCCTAAACGGTTATTTAACATCCATTTTCAGAATACTCTATAATTTTTATTTCAGCATGAAGTCACTTGTCATTGATATTCAGAGGCTGTCTTTTTCTTTTAAACTTTTTAAAAAATATTTATTTTTGAGAGAGACATAGAGCGTAAGCAGGGGAGGGGCAGAGAGAGGAAGGGGAGACACAGAATCCAAAGCAGGCTCCAGGCTCTGAGCTAGCTGTCAGCAGCACAGAGCCCGACGTGGGGCTCAAACCCACAAACTGCAAGATCATGACCTGAGCCGAAGTCAGACACCCAGCTGACTAGAGCCACCTGGGAGCCCCTAAAATTTTTTTTTAACATATTAGAAATGTTTGCTGATCTTGCAGAGCCCTCGTAGAAGAAGTTACTTGCCATCCAAGGTTTTACGGCGTTGGAAACCGCTATTGGCACAGGTTTCAAAAAGGAAGAGATTCCGACCAAAAACCAGTGAACAGTACACTGTATGGTATGTGAATTATACCTTGAAAAGGATGTTTAAAAAAAACAACAAAAAGAAAAAGAAAGTCACCCTTCATCTCTTGCTTTCTCAATGCTCCTCCATCCGAGCCCTCAGCAAATCCTGCCATCAGATGTCCAGACTGCCCCTGTGGCATCATGGTGTCCCGGGGCCACCCTGGTCTGAGCCATCAGCTTTCTTCCCAACAAGTACGGGAGATCCTAACTGACCTCCCTGACACCGTTCCTGACTCGACTCTGCACTAGTTCTCCTCCGAGAAGCCACTGTAATCTTTACTCGTGTAAATCCCATCACGTCATGCACCGGGTATCACGTGTGGCACTTATAATAAAATCCACACCCATGATCACAGTCTTCAAGGCCCGTATAACCCGGTCCCTGCCTACCTCCCTCCTCCCTTCATGAGTCGCAGCCACAATGGCCTCACAGTGAGCCTCTACACTGGTAGGGTTCATCGCCTACAGACTCTTTTCCATACTATTAAAAAGTTGACACTCATGAAATTAAAAAAAAAAAAAAAAGACTTGTTTTCACTATATTTATTTTGAGAGACAGAGAGAGGGCATGAATGGGAAAGGGTGGCAGAGGGAGAGAGAATCTCAGTCCCGCAATGCTGGGATCATGACCCGAGCCTAAATCAAGAGTTGGACCAAGCTTAACCGACTGAGCCACCTGGGGGCCCCAACACTCATGAAATTTTTCAAGCATTCAGAAATTATCACGAGTCACGCAGCTAAACACCGTGTAGCCGCAACAGAGCCCACAAAAATGACCTCCAGTGGTCTCTGTCCCCCACTTCGCTCACGTCGAGGAAACACCCGATGTTGCTGAAGACCATCCCTGCCTCCGACTCATTCTCTCTCCAAGGTTAGCCTCCGTCCAGAAGCTGGCAGGGAGCCTTGCCATTTTCACTCCACAAGGAGTCTTCTAGACACAGTGTACAGAACCGTTTGCAGGTTTGTGAAGTTTACAGATATGCCACCCGCGTCAACACACTCTTTTGTACATTTTCCCCACTGATTTTTGCATGACTGGTCCCTTCTGATCTCCTGGGTCTCAGTTTCTGTCCCCTCCTCAGAAGAGAAGCTTTGCCTGACCTGAGCCAAAAGTGGCTTCTCCCTGTCACCTCCCGGCTTTCACGTGCCTGTCCCTCCAGCACTATCTATATGACCTCACCGGGCACTTCTTTTTAAAGACCTGATCACAGGGTGCGATTTTGCTATTGATGGCGTCATTTGTCAGCGTGGCAATTGACTCTGTCCCTCACCAGACCCTAAGCTAATGAAGGCAAAGCACATGGCTGTCTCGTTCATGACGGTGGCCCAGCCCCATGTGCTAACAGAACACAGGGCACACAGCAGAATGTTAGTTGAATGAATGAATGATTGGATGAAGAGCGTTTTTTTAAAAAAAAAAAATTTAACATTTTTATTTATTTTTGAGAGACAGAGAACAAGCAGTCAAGGGGCAGAAAGCGAGAGGGAGACACAGAATTGGAAGCAGGGTCCAGGCTCTGAGCTGTCAGCACAGAGCCTGGCGCAGGGCTCAAACCCACGAACCGTGAGATCATGACCTGAGCCGAAGTTGGACGCTCAACCAACTGAGCCACCCAGGTGCCCCTGAAGAGCCTTTTTTCATGTTTATTTATTTCTGAGACATACAGAGCGCGAGCAGGGGAGGGTCAGAGAGAGAGGGAGACACAGACTCTGAAGCAGGCTCCACGCTCCGAGCTGTCAGCACAGAGCCCGAAGTGGGGCTTGAACTCAAGAACTGCAAGCCATGACGTGAGCCGACTTAACTGACTGAGCCCCCCAGGCGCCCCTGGATGAAAAGCTTTTTAA